TGATGTCTCTCACCGCATTCGGTGAAGATTTGGATCACAAATATGGCGGGACACAAAGACAACCACAGTATTTGATCATTGAAAGTACTGACATCCAATAGGCATGGTATACGGAATCCTTTCAAGTAAACACTGACTACAAAATGTATTTGCAACAGGATGTATCTTTCCAGAAAACCTTGATACACACTGTATGGTAGTACCTGTGCAACACAGTGTTACCGTACTATATGGTGCATATGTTAGTGGTAGACCATCACAGGGTTGCTGTACTATATGGTACAATGTGTACATATGTTAGTGGTAGACCATCACAGGGTTTCTGTACTATATGGTACATATGTTAGTGATAGACCATCACAGGGTTGCTGTACTATATGGTACATATGTTAGTGGTATACCATCACAGGGTTGCTGTACTTTATGGTAACTTTTCAACTGACTCGCTGTACCTGTATGTAATTGGTTGTACAGCACAGGGTTACTGTACTATATGGTACATATGTATTGGGTAGTTCAGAAAAGGATTACTGTTCTATATGGTACATATGTATGGGGAAGTACAGAAAAAGGATTACTGTACTATATGGTACATATGTATGGGTAGTACAGAAAAGGATTACTGTACTATATGGTACATATGTAAGGGGTAGTACAAAAAAGGATTACTGTACTATATGGTACATATGTATGGGGAAGTACAGAAAAGGATTACTGTACTATATTGTACATATGTATGGGGAAGTACAGAAAAGGGTTAATGCACTATATGGTACATATGTAAGGGGTAGTACAGAAAATGATTACTGTACTATATGGTACATATGTATGGGTAGTACAGAAAAGGATTACTGTACTATCTGGTACATATGTAAGGGGTAGTACAGAAAATGAATACTGTACTATATGGTACATATGTATGGGGTTGTACAGAAAAGGATTACTGTATTATATGGGACATATGTAAGGGGTAGTACAGAAAATGATTACTGTACTATATGGTACATATGTATGGGGAAGTACAGAAAAGGGTCAGTGCACTATATGGTACATATGTATGGGGTAGTACAGAAAAGGATTACTGTACTATATGGTGTATATGTAAGAGGTAGTACAGAAGAGGATTAATGCACTATATGGTACATATGTATGGGGTAGTACAGAAAAGGGTCTCTGTGTAAGTGGTAGTACAATACAGGGTAACTTTACTATATGGTACATATATGTACATATGTAAGTGGTTGTGCAGAACAGGGTTACTCTACTAAATGGTACCTATGTACGTGGTAGTACAGAACATGGTTTCTCTACAATATGGTACATATATGTACATATGTAAGTGGTTGTGTCGAACAGGGTTACTCTACTGTATGGTATCTATGTTGTGTAAGTGGTAGTACAACACATGGTCACTTTACTATATTGTACATACAGTATGTTTGTGGTAGTACAATTCGTTGTTTCCCCTTGGCGGGCAGCATGGTAGTTTTAATCATAAATTTTAGTACTGTACTACATTTAATGTACCTGGTTTGCGGAAGCAGGAGATGCTTCACCCCATGGCTAGTTATAGTACAGTTATACTGTATAGTTGTTTGAACATCGCAGTGCAGTTAAGGTTTAACCATGTTTTTTTGATAATACAGTAAAGTTAAACTATACATTTTGTGATAATACAGTACAGATAAAATATATCGTTAGGCTATCTCTGCATATGGTTTAAAATGTGTTTGATGGTATAATATTACAGAGGTCAAGCTAGCAATGCTTCTGCAATGGTTCAGTTGTTTTAAAAGCTTCCGTGACGAGTAAATGGACGGCCGATGCTTTGTAAATATAGTCGCATTAGTATGCTCTTGTATATTTGGCTGTGTATCCAATTTAATAGTTCCCGTCTGCATATGAACCTTTGGGGAAGTGTTTTTAATACGTGGAAGTGACATAGTCGATGAGATTTAACACGAACCCGATGGATTACTTACAGGGTCACCGACAGCAAGGCCTGAGGCAGCTTCTGACTGATAGAGTTGGTCTGCAACGTCGGGATATAAGACAAATGTTTAAACCCCCTGACATCATTTACTCTGCACATATTCAATATTTATAACTGTGATTCCGTGGGTAATGATTGCTCTCGACAATTATCAATTACAGGAGTAGGAAAGGTGTAAAGAATAAAGTTGGCGTACATGTTTACGTGAACCATATACTATTCCGCAGGTAACCCCTTCCTTCGCGAGATGGGAAGATACGTGCGTCTACACCACCATAAGCCGATAGTAATCTAATTAGTGTTCAGTAGCCGAAATAAAACGTCGGAATGTATGGTCAGCTTGCAGTAACAATGAAATCACCCTATTTTTTGCATAACAATTATACTTAATTGATGTACACATATTGAGTAGCAAACATTCATAATTATTTAATAACATCAATATTGTATACATATTAAATAACAGTCGAACTTTATAGTAACAAAATAGCTGAAAACATATTTAGTAAAAAACATTCATACTTATTTAGTTAAAAACAGTCGTATACATATTTCGTAACAAAACAGGTGTATACATATTAAGTAACAAACAATCATACTTATTAAGTTATAAAACAATTGTATATGTAGTTAGTAACAGGCAGTCGTACCTTTTTAGTAGCACAGCAATTACAATAACAGAATAAGAATGATGGTCACTGCACTATTATACTTTTTGCAAAGACGACGATTTTTATTTCAAGATTCCTTTTAAGAAGTAACATACTAGTTACTCTTTCTTACGGCTTGGCATATCACTTTAGATTCACTATTAGTCTAAGTATTGGTGACTTTTCAAGTAATAAGCAATTAGTTAGGACGTGTAACGCAGGCCGTCGATAGCTTAATGACTGCATACGGTTTCATCATTGACAGGAGATATTCCGTCTTTGCATATTGGAAAGTTATCTTCTCTTGTGAGCTGGTATTGATTGTTACGTCATTGGTTTGTGATAGTAACGACATCAAGTTTTGAGAAAACGACGCAATTTTCTCACACAAACCAATGACGTAACAATCAATACCTGTTCACAAGAGAAGATAGCTCTGCAATACGCAAAGACGGAATACTGCTGGGTGGAACTTGTCATTTGGTGTCTCCTTAGTTTTTTAGTGTTAGATGGTATCTACTGCGACATCCATGTGCATTACCACTGCGGTATTTGATCACATATAACATGTTTTACGTGTGCTATTCTTTACACTTAATTGGTATGATAGGCATCATTTTAACGTTATGTTTATTACTCGTTAGAATATTTATTAAGTGGCAATATTGTTTTTTTCTGTGTAACATTGTCAATTAAAATCGAAGATTATTATCCCACACATCTTGTTCATAATATTTGACGTGAATTACTGGTAATTGGTGATGCTGTTAATGGTTTCTTGTTCCGAACTTTGTTTAACATACATGATGTGCTTTGAATTAATCGAGTAAGCGACTAATAATAGCGTTTATTGAAGTGTTTTATCACGAAATCGTGACTCTATAACATTATTTGATCTTGTCTGAAATACAGCGCCGTAATTCAATTTCATAGAACCACTAACTAAATAGAATGCATATACAAGCAACACGTTTTCACTTTTCAGCTGGAATGTCTGAATGGTTGGAAATCCATGTCCATATCATTGAAAGAGTTCTTAAGTTTCTGTTTAAAGTGTGTGTTTTTTTTTACAAATGCGTACAATTTGCTGGTCATAACATGTTAAGATGTCGTCTTTCGTCGTCTACACAAAAAGCCATAGACACGTCCACTTGTAATAGTAAGCAGGTAAATAATTGAGAGGCTTAAGTCACAGAAGTAAAATCAGGATTGTCCTTGAGACAGAATTCACTTATCGAATGGAAATATTGAAAAGAAAGAATTTTAAGGATTTCTGTTACTGTTCACCAGTCTCGGCACTATCCTGGTCAGACACGTGCCCTCGTCAATACGTCTCGGCCATATTAAGTTATATCTCCTTTGAGGCAACCACAGCCGGGTTGTCGCCCTTTTATTGAATCATGATCACATCTTTTGGACCAAGACTAGAACGAAGAAACATCCCTACTCCGGATAGAATGGTGTTATGTTGGGCCTTGCCAAATGTAAATTATGCCATGGTTTTATCAATTTATTTGCTAATTTTGATGCGGGAAAGCGTCATTGAACACATGGTAATCATAATATGAAGTTTGCAAGGACATTATCTCTAAATACTGTTATTATCTCTGTATTATCACCACGTCAGTATCTCTAAATAATGTTATAACCTTATATCACCGCAATAACTGTATACATGTTATTGCCAATGAAACGTGATTACGTCTCTGTATTGCTTTTAACGTATGCTGATAAGGTTAGATGTCTCTAAAGCTTTATACTTTCTGTATAACAGTACGCGGACTACTTCGGCTATTGCAATATACATGCACAAATCTATGACAGCTTCAGGATATGCCGGTTTGTCTATGCATACCAAAGAATGATATACGGATAAGTTTTATGGAGAACAATTAAGCAAATATCAAGTAGAAATGACAGCAAGATAAATTAAACTTTGTTTTTTTCAAGTATGTTTCATTATACTATGGGGGGAAAAGGCGAGTTTTTCCGTAATGTTTGCAGGATTAACCGGGCACAGGTAATTTCGTGGCGTCAAATCCAAAAACAAAAATCATATATACGAATGGTTTCTGTTTGACGTATGTTACATGTAACCCTAGAAAACACGACTCATTTTCCCGCAAGCGATTCTGTTCCACCATAGGTTAAACAGTTTCTTTAAAAGACAACAAAAAAGTAAGATAAACTTATTTTCGTGCTGTCTAATAGGAAAAAATAAGAAATGTATAGCACACTCTTAACATTTGAAGGAGCATGTTTGAAAAGAACAGCAGGGTTTCATACAAACATGAATGACAATGATTGCAGTTTTATTAAAATAAAGCTTTTAACTTGTGGCGTGATTTTACTTCCAGATAATGAACGTTCGCGTAAGTAGAATATTTGTCTCTAATGAATATTTATTTTTCATTTACCATTTTTTTTTCTTTTTCTTTTAGCTTCCTCCACTCTGTACTCTTTAATTTGTAGCGGTACTTTCAACGCCTGTAGCTGAACATTCCGCTTCAATATACTGTCTTACACGAGGTGTATTATTGTCACTCAGATTGACCAGAAATAGTTTATTAAGTGATGCTAAATGTACAAAAGTCACCGATCACATACAATGTATATCATAGAAACTGCAATAATGTACGTCATAAGCATTTCCAGTATTAATGGGTGTGTCAATGTTGTTTGTCTTGTAAATAATGTGTATGTATTTGTCTCTGTGTAATCATGTAAACATACCCTCTTAGGTTTATTATCATCAACCTTTTTAATGTGTCTCTTCTGCGCAATCTATTTTTTGTACATGTCTCCATTCTATTCAGATATCTTACGAAGAAATGTTCAGAGACAGAAAAATCGGCATTTTTTTAACCTTTTTTTTTGCACTTATATTTCATCAGAAACATCACATGCATTTGATACGCTATCCAGTGACATTTATTCTCCACACGTGACGATATTCCTGTTGACTATCATACGGATAGCGTGAACAGTTCTTTATCAATTGAAACCTACATTTTCCGCGTTCTATTAGGTGACATTAAATTTCATTTAGACTCATACACATGGACTGATATCCTTTTGAGGTCGATGATAACTGTTAATGATCTGTATAAGTCGTCTCACATTTAAATAACACGTTGAAGAGGGCGCTTTCATGTTAATATCTGGTTTGAGATTGGACAGATGCCCTACTTAATTGCACCCATTAGAATTCCCCCAGCCTAACGCAGTGTAAGACACAATCTTTCAACCAAACAATAACTTACTTTACCAGACGTTATTCTGTAGTACAATGGAGTAGATACCATCACGTGATCAATGTCACTTTAAATAAGACCTCGTTATTTCACCGATCAGTCCTAGAAGGACGAAAAAGCTGTTCGATGCAGTGTAATTCACTTTCGGAATACTGTATATTTGGCTAGTTTGGTATGGGTGCAATTATCGGTGTGCTTCGTTCATCTTTCAAGATACAAGGTGGTAGACTCTCTCTGCGGGTTGATGTCTTTGTCCCCCAAGTTAACCTGAACCTTGCAAGCTTTAGGTTGCTTATTCTAGTAGCCACACGGTTATTCATTTACACACTTTACTCATTATCTAATTAGTCCTCTAAATATTGAAATTCATGACATTAAGTAGTTTTACACACGTAACTCCCTTTCTGTTTCAATATTTGTTTAGACCACTTTGGACGTCCAACTTTGTAGCCCGTAGCATCGCAAATAAGTCCTAGAAAGGACAAAGCAGCTGTGTGAAGCAGTGTGATTCATTGTTGACATACTGTATTATTATGAAAATTGAAAGGTACAATTACAAATGAATCTATGTGTGTTTGTTACGTTCAACTTTAATAATGCAGAGGTTATAAAGGATTTTAGCAGTCTAAACGAAGAAAGGGGGATTTTAATATATGTCAGCGGTAGGTGAGGTGATATATGAAACAATGGGCGTTATGTCACGATTTTACTGCGTATGCATATGTGTGGTGTTACATCGAGGATTTACTGTTTATATATAGATAACAATATTAAAAGAAAGAAATACTAGAATTACATATCTCTGAAATGCTTAATTCCATATCACATTGTGAAGCCAGTTACTGATATCAAATCAGCATTTACATGTAAACTATGTCTTGTACATGTAACACTGGTACTTGAACGCGCATAGACAGAGATAATAAGTTTCTGGTTCTTTACATCTTTAAACATATTTTATACTTAATATAACAAGTTACCAAATAACTTTCTAAAGGATGCAATAACATTACGTGATTTGAGTATAAATATAGTATGAATGTCACTTGACATCTTGGTCTACTATCGCGAGTTAACAATATATGTTGTTGATTTGTCTTTTAAAGAGGTCCATTTTATTACAAGCTCAATGGCAATGAGTAACAACATTTATCTTTATTGTATATACTAATGCTATTTTTTTTTACAGTTTAGTGTGAGCAAATCAGTTCACGATGAAACGGCATTACTCAACTTCACCTTGGACTAATGTTTTCGTATAAAGCATTAAGACCCTTAAGGATAGCAATTAGCGACAATAACAGGTTTAAACTATGTTTATGAGTTTGTCGAATATACATGTATATATTTCATAAACTGTCGTTTAAATTCGCAGTTGTTTGCAATCGTACTTGACATCTGTTTTCGTGCGTTGTACAACTTAATCAATACAAAAGAGGCCATTTCGATAAATTAAGGGTCGAACAGACGAAAAAATAAAGGAACATGTTTGAATTGAAAAGCAAATGTTGTTATGCTATATTTTTCAACAGTCAGCAGCTTTCATGTAGTAGAATTTTAGTGATACATGTATTAACAATTTCTAAAAGAGATTTTTGAAATTTGTTATATTAAGGTAAATACATCTCGTGTTCGCTGAATGTCAGTGGAGTCTAATAGCAAGTATTTTATTGTAAATGGTTCGTGACATTTCTGTGTACTGTGTAGGTAATGTCAAAGTACAAGTGACGATCCTTTAATGAAGAAAGGTTAACACTTTCTCGGTCCAGGCGAGACGGGATCTCCGTGTCAGTTGCATGTCGGATCAGATTAGCCTTATGATGAACGGCTCGACTCAGGTCACCCTACCAGACTCTCTTTGATGTCCTAGATTATACACCAGATAACTAAAAACGACGCGAAATCAGCTTTACGGAGAACATTGCCTGTATTGAAATGGGTGGAGAACAAACAGTCAAAGGAAATAGTGGAGATTGTATCAAAGTAGACATGCTTTCATCATTGATATTGGAGCTAACAAAACCCCAAAAGATATTTAGTCAATGAAACGTTTCTCTGTATGCGTATCAAAGTATTGCAGAAGGATCAAGACGCCCCATAAACGCAGACAGTGTGTCAACAGAACCCTTCACTGATCTGTGAATATATAATGAATATATTAGTTAAAACATATCCTATTTATGATAGATGTGAAGTAAAATTTAAGATATATTTTTAGATCACAAACTCCATTCTGCCCTACATACATGTTTTATGATCAGAATAGACTGGTTTAAAGTAGAGGTGACACATATATGGTAGACACAAACTCTCGTATATTTACGAGGTTTTGTTTTCCTTTATAATTTGTTTGATGATTAGGCAGAAGCATTCTGCCTTTTAAATGCTTGGACGACAAACTCATTTCTTAATTAATCTAGTTAACAAACTCGTTATAGGAGGAAGTCAAATATAAAAAAGTATGAATCAAACGATGTATATGCAATATCCTTGCTCATCATTAAACGTACACCGGGAACGTTAATCATTTGGCAACTACTTATTTAACAATTATACACTAAGTAATGTTGTATACAATCATGGACCTTTGATGGAGTCAGTTTGCAGTTTTATTACCCACGGAAAATATATGTTCATAAGACTTTTATACATCTTCTTTAATTTGACAGTGATTAGTGTTGATTAATTGAAATAACCATTGTATATTTTATCTAATTATCCATTAATGTCTTTTAAAAAGCACTTTATAGTCTTTCTGCATATCATTATTATCATCTGGATATACAATCAACATTGATGTGTAGACTGCTATACGTAAATAACATTTACAATAAACAGGGACTTTTAATTTTCTGAAATAAATCTTGTTTTCGTTTTCTCTGTTCCAGGAACCTCTATTCCAGATGAGCGAGAAAGCCAAGCAGCACACCTTACTTCGAACTCTGTGTTACTCTTTCTATCATTATTACTGGCGATAAGATGACATAACCATCAAGTCTAATCACCTACTGAAATGTGCCTTTACTCTGGATATACACCTCTTGTAAATTCGTCCAAACATGCCACAGCGTTCACCGCTCCGGAACTAGGGTTTATTTTTCGCCCAAGTATGGGTAAAGTGGGACGGGACTAATGGTGAAATGTGGTCGCGTTAATATCATACACGGACCCAAATCATGGACGTGCGTGCTGACCACACTCGTTGACAGAGGACTGTGACTTATACCCATTCTGTCCTGGGTACAGTTTTCTCCGAAAGGTACTGATGTTACAAGTTGACATTATCAAAATGTGTTGGCTTATTAAGGCTACTAGTGTGAAAGTATGCAACATGACGGTATATAGTTCACCGACATGTCTACTGGTAGTGCCAGTCTATACCGTCTAAGCGGCGAATGTGGAATTCTGTTCACCTCTTAATGACGTTGGAAAAACGACATATTAATTAGATTATTGAGAGAACTGAAGATGTTTTACATGCATGACCCAAACCAGCGACTTAACGTGTGGCACGTCGTGCACTATGCACCATGCAACACGTAGTCATTGACTGTAAGCCAATAGCAAGCAAACCAACACATGACGGATTCCATAAGCCTCTATCCATATAAGGTGTCGCTCGTTTTATAAGACAGTCCGGAGAGTATGAAACGCAAATATAAAGAAACAAATTAGTCAATGTTGTGACACAAACGTGAACTCCCCTATTTATTTCTCAAAAACCAAATAATATGAATGAACACAAAATGTATTTCATATCATCCTTTTGTACCATCTATTCTCAGGTTGGCTCTGACTCGTCTCATTAGGGACCTTATATTTTGCAGCACTGCAAAGATCGTTGTAATAATGTGATTATTTAATAAATATCATACCAGACTTGTGTAAAGTTATACTGGAAAGTAAACGGGAAAAATAATATCAGCTTATAATATTTACAACAGTTTTGCAAAAAGTTATTTGCATAATAGGAATATCATACTGATATGTTTTCCATATATTTGTTTTTCCAAGTTAATGTGCAATATTTTAGTATTATTATCATAAAGGTTTATGTTTACTCTACCTATGCCGGGTATCTGCAGTTATAATATACTAATTATATGGTATCGCATTTTGTTGAAGAATATGTATTCATTATAATAAGTAACAATGCTGTATCATTTCATACATGGTCATTCATTATTATGTGAGCAACATTACTTTGGCTAGGTGAAACATTGACAAAAGCATGATATTCATATTTTCCTTCATTTACGTTATTGTAATCGAGGGTGTCAGTGAAAAACTATGATGACAGTGTTATGTGTAAACCTGAATGCCCAAAAATGAAGAAAAACAAATTCAGGTCCCTCCGCTTTAATAAGTCAATAGCCAATGATACAAAAGACAAACGATTCTCAATCAATCCTTCTGTATAGTCTAATAGCCATGTTGTACGCCAGGGTGCCGCGGTGATAAAGTGCTTAAGGCGTTCGACATTCTGCTACCTCTAGCCTTCCACCACTGTGTCGCGGGTTCGAGACCTAAGGCCGGTAGTCAACAGGTACTGGCCGTAGGTCGTTGGTTTTTCTCCGGGAACTCCAGCTTTCCTCCACCACCAAAATCTTGCTCGTCCGTTAATGACCATAGCTGTTAATTAGACGCAAAACATAAACAAACCAAACAAATAAACAAACCAAATACTAATAACCTTTGAACAAACTGACCATGAACAATGTGCTGGTGATGGATGGGGTTCCTTACATTGATTAAACGCCTTCCATTATGATAAAGCTGTTCTTGTGTTTACGCGAATTGAATATCTAGACAGCTGCAATTATGAACCTCCATAAAGACTGAGTCTGTAATTAATTTAATGTCTATCATGAAAAGAATATACCACTGCTTGGATAATCAACACTTTTTTTTGTACACATAGATCTTTATGTACTAAATGTATGATAAATATTCACGTTCTAATCATTATATTTCAATTAACGGGTTCGAATATTTTAATGTTGTTTTCCTTTACCAGCAAAATAACGATATTGAAACAGGATCAACCTTGAGCTTCATTGTATTTGTATTGAAAGATACATGTTTCTGTAGTAGAACAAGAAGGTAAGCTATATGTTCGTTAGATAATTACGATACACGTATGTGTATCTCAATGTCCTATTTACCGCCAGTTTTGTATCTCAACGTGTATATGTACAATGCATATACATGTATTGACTTGTAAGCATTCTGTTCAAGCATTACGTTTATTCTTTACTAGAAACCGGTGACGTCATCCATGCTTTCTCTCCTGTTAAACATTCAAAATATATGACCGCAAATCAGTTGATATTATGTTTTAGATTGATTTTAAATTTGGATGATTATCCTCAAATCTATGTACTTGAACAATATAAAGGCGATAACCGTCAGTTTCATCGAAATTGATGAATATGGTTATTTTGTGGTTCGTCGCAATACCAAAATTATGTGCCGTCAATAGAGTACTTAATAGAAAAAGGAGTACAGAAGAACATATTTAAAACAGTAGTTAGTTGATGCAGAATGCCAAAACGAGAGAATTTTTTCCCCATACCATATAGAATTTTTCGTATATTTAGGACTCATCAGTGGTGTTTAAGATTCAATGTATTACCTTTTACATTTTGTATGACGAACTACTCTCAAAAATATACAGAAATTCAGCGAAAGAGGATATGCCCTTTTCAAACCTTTCTGGCGTTTGGAAATGACAATATTTGGCTACACCGGACGACTAAGTGTGTCGATTGTTGGACAGTTTAGAAGCCGTAACATAGTATTCGTAAGTTGATCTGTAAATAATTGCATAAATAATCGCAAGAAATACGAACAATTAATTTGAACGTTCTTAACAATGCTATCGATTCCTTCAGGGCACGTTAAATGCTTCAGTATTATTAGTTCGTCGTGTTGTGTTTTACACAGGTACGATGTCATTACACGTGAAATAGTTCTGTACCATTTTAAAGTATTCACCTATGCATACATCGTCATGACTGCTGTTACAGTTACTTAACTGCATTTTAGTTGAGGATTTTATTTCACAAAGTTATTAATAGGAATATTTATATTGTACTTTCGCATAAGTAATAATGACTTTTTTTAGTTTTAACCGTTCACAAATCCAATATTAGCTTGTTATGCATGTAAAGCTTAACGCAAGCTATCTCACAAAAAAATATTACAACAATTGTTTATACTACAGCATTTTTGCAGAAAACTTTTTTTAAGTTTATTTGTTCACACAGATATTGTGCAGCTACGAACAGGTTAAACAGACATATTGTTGGACTGCAATATATGTTATATGTTATTTCACTAATATTCATACACATAAACCATGCCCGGCAGGCCGTGTTCCGTCGTGATAAAACAAAGCTTCGATATCACAAAAAAAATAAGTTGCATTTATTGCTTTAAGTACAGGCTGAATTGAAGACATGATTCTGGTCTGAAAAACTTTCGAACGCTTGTTTACATAAAACTGTCATTATCGTAAATCAATGTCGCATTTGTACCGTTTGATACAGTTTGATTATGTAGTGTTTTAATATAAGTTATATATATATATATCTGCATATGTTATATTGATATACATGCCGTGAAAATGTACGTGTAAATGTATGTGAATGCGCGTGCGTGTTTATAAACGTACAATACTCCACCCTACATTCGTGTATTCTGTTTGTATATAGGTCCCCAAATGTGTATGATTGAACAGTTATATTCATGTCAGTCTGATGGTTAAGTTGGACAATGGAGAAACTGTGGACAGACTGACAAACTCTTTTTTACTGTGATAATTGGTGTGTGAGTATTTGTTGAAATGATAAAAAATAAATTAACAAACCTCATTCTTATACTGCATTGTCTCGTCCTTGTTTTTGATACTGAAACAACAATTGTGTTGACGTTGCTGATAAATTGTATATATATGTTCAATTCTTGACCAGGACAAGATATCACCAAGAACACATCAACATAAATGTTTTTTGTCAAACCATGCAAATATATATCGTACATGCACATTCTTAAGATATAAATCCCCTATACCTCGAAACAACAAGATACCTTTTCCTCATAAATGTATTTACATTGTTTACTTATATAAACAGGCTTCCTTACCATCAGTCGCTGGGGAATCTCTTGATAACTTGCTGCCGTCAGAATGAAAACATTTTGGAATTAGACTTGAAAATCGTGCTTCCGTGCTTGTCTGTGTTTACTTTGAACTACACGAGTTATTTCGAGGAAAGATTTGTATTTTATCTTTTATTATTAGGCACACAAAAATGGATTCAAAAATAAAGAAAAGAGAGGGATTTTACTTTATTTTTTTTGTAATTAGCAAAAAGGATCCTAATGGAGTATCAGAAAATCGACAAAGGTTCTCAGAAATATGTAAAAATTTAAGTGCTTAATATCGAAAGTTTTAATAAAAAATATTTCAGTGCTACCTATTCATCATACTGGTGGTTTGCATATCGTTCTTGAAATACTACATTGATTTTTGTATCCATTTGTACGGAAGATTATCAAGACAAACATATTAGAATGTGATTGCAGCTTGTGATTAGTACAGCGTCCTGACAAGCATTACTACGAATATTTGGGAACACGTGAACCTTAATTCGCCATGTAAAGCACGGCAAGTCCAAAAATACTATGTCTTGCTCTAAAACATAATTCTTACGAGATATCAATACCATATCATGATAACACATTGATTCCTGATACAATTATTCCTATTATGTGTGGACAACACCTTGTGAGTTACATGGACTTGCGTTTGGTTTTATACTTAAATAAAATACTCATTCAATGCTCACTGTTTATGCTAGTGTTTATGTTTAGTGGGACACAGAAGGTTTTTCCCCAGAACATGCTGGGGTTTCGCTGTCTACACAAATACAGACGTAAAATAACATACTATGCGAATGCACTAATTTAAGGACATACCAACATACATACAGGTCTCTTATAAAGAGCCCTGTGGTCAAACAGATAACTAAATAATTAATATGAATGTGTAATGCCATGTTTACCAAGACGGTTGATTTATGTTTATACACACACAAATCAATTTGGTCCATCCTATAATCGGAGCTGTATGACCTATATCCGGGTCCCTAGGGACCCTAGCAGACCACTCTACACACGGGCATGCTACAAAGATATTCTACAATGTTCCGACACTCAAATCACATTATAATAAGATCGTCAGTAGATAATGGCGAATGATCTGTAAAATTGTATTGTATGCATACATTATACACCGATAATGCAGGCAAAACACCTAGTATTGTATCGCGTTATCCGGAATACGTCAGTCTTATTTCATCTACGGTACCAGATCAAAGAGAACAAGTAAGTTGGAAATATAATATACAATATATATATGTAACACAGAGCCTACACACAGGGAAATAATCGGAATTAAAATTGATACGACAAGACAATAAACGGAAATTGTGACACATCAAACAAAAGGTTATGAACCCCACAAGAGTCTCTGTGAAACAAACTCTTGTATCTTAATGTAAGATAATGTTAACTGTTGACAGGGACGTATCAGTGTGATATTCTAGAACAGATCACCAACTCGTAACGTTGACATATTTTGTAATTCACTGTGTCCTTTCTGATGTACAATTTCCTGACTTATCTTAGTGTTGCAAAGATGAGACCGGATATATCCGTTGTATAAGACGCCCCGTTTGCAACTGAGAAACATATTCCGTCTGATCATCTACAATGGACACCCCATTTCCCGACATTTCGATTACCTCGTGTTCTGTTAAAAAGAGTGAAGGGTTAGTGAATCATTGCAATGAAAATAAGGCAGTGGAGCTCCGTATAGTTAGTCGAAAATTCCATTTAATCAGTGAAATACGAAACTGAAATGATAATTCTGTTAAACACAACTATATAATTTCATTTCAAATATATTTTATTGATTAAACGAAAGGATTGAGCAACACGCTTTGCCTATATAAGCTCTCTCCATGGCTTCCAGCATACTTTTGATAGTTGAAGACATTGCACAGAATAGTTACATACATACATTATATTTAACTCATCTCAAGACACTTGGGTACATTTTTTGCGAGGTAATATACAGTCATTAGGCTGGATTAATATTTTCAGGTTTCTACAAAATTACATTATTTATTGTGATACATGGACTTAAGATAAAAAAAAAAAACGTAATAAAAATTAAAAAAATATATATATATAATTTCATAGATGAAATAGCGTAAATATACATATACACATTTAAAATTTCCAATTACTTGTTTAGTGTCATTAAATCACATGAATTAAATCGCTCAAATGATAATGTTGTAACGTATTGGGTTGCGCACGAATATACATAGATCAAGTACTCATACCCTAACTGGAGATGAATAATGACATTGACAATCAAGGCAACTGATTTACTTTTCACTTGAATGTCATGCTTCCAAGTGCTATCTTATTATCTAACTAACACCTCAAAAATAACATTATAGGATATTATGACGATGGATTCTGTTCCAAAACCAA